TTGTCTTTATCCAAAAAGGCACCGCCATGGGAGGATCAATCCAGCCAAAGTTTGATAGATCTCAGCCAAGTTCGATCGATCTCAGCATAGGTTCGATCGATCGAACCCTCTCAAGTGCGAATTAAATCAATTTCTAGCTCATTAAAAGTTGTTTCATAGTGCAATCATTGGAGGAGCCCTTGTGTACGAGCCTAGACCATTGGGTGTGACATTTTGAGCTACCTATATAAGGATTATGAGCCACTTTTGCAATAGAGATGCTTTTATGTTTTAGATACAACATTTTGATATTCTTAAAGAGGAAGAAAAGAGAAGAGGAGGCTAGAGACACATTCTTGGAAAGTTTTCCATCTACCTCAAGAAGAAGAGCAATTTCTACCATAAAGATAGCCCTTAAGGGTTAGAGGACACCATCTATGAGTGGCTAAACATCCTCTTAGGGCTAGAGTTAGCCCTAAGCATGCCTTCTTTACCTTGATTTATGTATTTTTAAGGGAATTTGTGTTGTAATACATGTTTTGACATTTTTATATACATAGATCTTGTTTATTTAGTGATTTGTGCGGTTTAATTCTTCCAATTAATCATTTCATTCTATCCATATATCTATGTATGCTAGAATAGATGTTCATGTATTTATCTCTAACTCTTGTGTTGTTAATGCATGTCTATGTGTGTTAATGCTATAGACTTAGAGATTGTCAAAACATAGTGCTTAATAGAATGCTCTTATGGTTTATTTGATGGTTCATACTCATTTCTTGATGAATTGTGCCTCTCCCTTAGTTTAATTAGTTTAATTTTCATGTCATTAGCTTAGATGTAATGTAGTTACTTTAGTTGTTAAATGGGAGGACAATCCATGCTTATTGTTTGATGTTCTATACTTATGAATGCAAGTAGTATATTCCTCTAATCATGTGATGTGTTTGGATTGTGAGCTTAAAGGAAGGATTAATGGCTTAGTTTGATATATTGTGCTATTCATTGTGTTGTTTAAACAATATATACTTAATTGGTCATCCATGCTTGTTGAAACAATCACACATACTCACTATTGTTGCAACATATGTTTTCCCCCTCATTAATTATGAATTGAGTGTATAGAAAGGTGACACTTAGTGGTGACCTCTAAGTCCCAAGACCTCTCTCTCTTGTCTTCTCTATCCTTTAATTACTTGTTTATATTGAACTTGCTTAATCTTAATTGTAGTTTAATCAACCAAATAATCTACCTTTGATCACTCGACCTACTAACCCTAAACATTGTTTCCATTACTAGTAGCCCTCCAATCCCTTGGGACGATCCCTATTTACTCTTACTACGTTAGTAGTAGTGGTGGTAGTGGTTTTTATAAATTTAAACTTGACCCAAAAGGCTTTTCTTGAACCGTGCATTCACTACATTATTTTGGCGTATAGGAACGGCCAACCGTTAGGTTTGAAAAGGTGAAATAATATTGTTTCGTAAATAGGTAGCGACATTGCATGGCATAGCATTTCAGTGGCACATAGTGCATACTTGGTGGTCGGATGACTTGTTTACACTCTTGTTGATGTTGTTATTGCTTTACCTATTTTCTGAGGCATGATCCCGTTTTCGTGTACTCTATTCTTTATGTGGATTCATGGGGTCATAAGAGGTGTGTCTTAAACACTTCCAACTGAGCGGTTGGCTCACCTCACTATATTATTATCATTTTTATAGGACACAGGAAGAAAGTGGCGGATGGTGATCCACCACAAGCTTGACGGGACTAGAAGTTATTTTGTCATCTTTTGTATATTTGAACCCATTATTTTGTAAAGCTTCATCTTGAAAAATGTATTCGTTTTGTAAAGCATAACCATGTATTGTAACTATAAATCCCTTGACAATATTTTTGATGTAATTTGAGACTATGTTGTTATTTTGTGTTGAATGGGAAATGATAGAGTATTTTGGGAAGCTTATTGGTGTGTATGTTTATGGAATGTTTTTTATTGCTTGTTGGGAGTTTAGAATGGGTTGCATTGCAGGTTTAACTCACAGCGAGCCCAGTTGGGAAGCTATTATCTGCAGATAGCAGTACAGCTTAGGGCATGTCGGCCGGCTAACAAGGCATGTCAGCCGGCTGATAGGGTATTCGAATGACATTCCAGAAAGTTGTGCCTTTGGAAGTGTCGTTTTGGCCGGCCGACAACTTTTGTCAACTGACCGAACCCCAACCTTTAGCCGGCCGACACGGGATTTTCAGTCGGTCGACAGTTTATCTTCTGAGAGTCCCGAGACCTCTGTCAGCTGACCGAACCCCAACCTTCAGCCGGCCGACACGGGATTTTCAGTCGGCTGACAGTTTATCTTCTGGGAGTCCTAAGACCTTGCAGTTTTAAGCATCGTTTCGGTTGGCTGACCATTCCAGTCAGCCGACCGATCCTTGTGTTTTCAACCGGCAGACATATGGCTGTCAACCGGCCGACTCTCTTCTTTCTCCTTGTATTTGTAATCAACCAGTGCTGTTGGTAGTTTAAGGTGTTGTGAACCTTTGGATAGGGTATATGTTGTTTATTGACATAGTAAAGGACGGTGGTACCCTTAGTCAACCTTGGGTTTGGTAAGGACCCGGCTAACAGTTCGGATCCTCATATTCGGGTTGTTACATTGAGGTGAAAACCTAAAAAAGGCCAAAACAAAATGTCCCAATTGCAACGCAACTTTGGAGTTATATCGGGGACAACGAGGAGAACAATAAACCCTTTTGCGGCACCACCCAAATCCAAACCCGAGCTCAACTCCAAAACTAAAAAACGGACTAAACGAGAATTTAATCGGATGAAAAGTGAGGCCGTACCAAGACCATCACAAAACCCTCCTACGGCAAAGGCCGAATCTCAAAGATGGAAGGCCAAAAAGAGGAGAGAAGAACAAGATCTAAAAAGAAAGAAAATTTCAGCCAAGAGGGAGAGAAATCGGATTTCTCTTTCTCTCCTCTCTCCTCTCTCCTCTCTCCTCTCTCCTATCTCTTCTCTCTTTTATACTTGTCAAAAATATTGCCCGAATGGCCCCACGCGATCCCGAAAAGTAAAAGTTGTCAAAACATGCTCAAATAGATAGAAACCGTAAATGTAAAAACACCAGCGGCCAAAATAATGAACAACAAAAGAAACGGCATCGAAAAACGAATCCCGTACCCCACAATCCGTCTCGAAACCACACGGCGACTTCTTGGGTCAAAAACCCTAAAATGGGATAAAAGGTCCAAAGAGCATTTCTAAGAGTCTGTGGCTTGAAGAAAGATTAAAAAGAATCGCGTGCAAGCATCCTAACCAAAATAAGACAGATTGCCCTAACTTTCACTAATTGCACAAAAGTCCCCCATGAAAAATATTCCAAAAGATAATTGCACTTTTGCCACAAAATAAAAATATTTCCAAAAGATAATCACACAAAGACCCCAAAAATGGGAATGCTAACTAAATAAAATCGCGCAAATACCCCCAAGCACCAAAAGGCAAAGGATAAACAAGTACAACAGAAATTTGATTTGACATGAGGGTCAAACACACAAGTATGAAATAAAACAAGTGTCGAGAACTACTTCCTAAGCACTTAGCTTGATTCGGTCTAACTAGACCCGATCCCAAAAAAATATATAAAGGAAAAATGAAAAAGGGACAGGTTCTCACACCAATTGGTAACCAAGGCTAAACTTCAACACTTTTTTCCACTTCTCTTCCCAAGTCAGCAATCATATTCTCGAACTCTAGTAACCTACCATCATTCACATTCATAAGTGCCTCTGAAATTGTTGTTGATGTTTTAGTTCGTCACAACTCTTGCACCCCTGTCATAAGATCCCAAATTAATTTACTCAGGCAACTCCTCATCTTCCCACCTTAAAAAACCACATGAACCAGTTCTATAGTTTGTACAACAATAAAACCTTCTCCCCAAAATTCTCTTTTTATTTGAAACCTTCAAAGGACTTTTAACTCCACAATGGCAGTAACACTCTTTCTAAGCCCTTCCATACAAGTAAAAATGATTTGTTGAGGTTGAAAACGATCCAATGTGAGATTATTGTATGCCCAAGCCGAAAGAGAGAGATCATACAATGCTAGAGGAAGTCTATATAGAGAGAAAACACTAAATAAGTATAGAGAGCGAAAAAAAAAAAAAAAACAATAAATGTTAGATATATATATATATATATATATATATATATATAGAGAGAGAGAGAGAGAGAGAGAGAGAGAGAGAGAGAAATTTCAAAAGTAAAAAAATATAATAAAAAAAAATTAAAATTAAAATTAAAAAAAAAAATTTAAAATGGTAAAGTGCACATAACACCCCTATACTATGATATTATTAACAAATACACCCCTTGCGCAGTTTTAGAAGAGTAAAAGGGCAAAATAAGTATTACAACAATACTTTATGTTAAATTTCTGCAAAAATCAATTTGAGGGTCTTTCCGCACAATGTTAAAATATTAAGGTGATTTTAAGCACACTTTTTAAAATAGGGGGAACAAAGTGCTACGCAGAATATACATTAGGACGTTCTCTGCACATCCCCTATATTAATATATAACCTTTATTTTTAATTATTATGGTGCAAGTCCAACTATGTTAACAACTGTTACTAATCAATCAAATAAAAACAAAATATCCATGTATAAAATACAATGGTTTATCAAATTGGTTCGGCCCTTCAACTTCTAAATAATCTTGAGCAAAAGCGATTCTAGTTCTGTGGAACCAAAACCGGACCATAAACCTCCATAATTAAACATAGAATTCATTTGCAAATCTACATACATTCAAAATGCATATTTTCATCATCTGAATAAAGGTCAAATACTAACATAAAGAGGTTGAGAAGCCAAATTATAACAGTTGAACATAGAATTCCAACAAAAACAACATCAACATAACGCAGGAGAAATCATCTTTGGCTTATTGATGTAGACACCGTTCAACCTTATTATATATAGATAGTTAAATTTATATGACACGAATATTACAACGTCCTTATTTTAGTAAAAATTTCTTGAACCACTGGGCTGAGAGTTTTTCATATCTTTTTAACCCATCATTATAGTCTATGTAGTTGATGCCATAACGAGTAGTGTAACCCGAATTCCATTCAAAATTGTCCATTATTGACCACCCGAAGTATCCATGCAGATTGACGCCGTTCCTGTATATTAAAAGGAAAAGAGTAGAAGAAAAACCACATTAGTCATTCTTATAAATTTGAATACATATTAAAATCTTTATCAAAGAGCTTTCTCCACAAAAAAAAATAAAAAAAAAATAAATTAAATAATAAAAATAAATAAATAAATAAAAAATACTTGCTTGATTGCTTTTAGAGCAAAAGCCAGATGTTGATAGTAGTACTTCACCCTAAAGTTGTCATTGAGGGCTTCAGGAAGTGACAACGTGGCATTATTGTTCTCAGAACACCCTACAAGAAAATAAAGAATATATAGTGTCAAAATGGTATATATCAATCTATACCTTTTTCTAATTTCTTATATATGTCAAAATTAAAATTGGCCTCACTTATCACTGAGCCATCACCGCAGCTCCTATAATCTCTCACTTCTCAAAGAGGAAGTGATGTCTTTGATCGAGCCTCGTAGTGAACATTTATGGATGTTTGTGTGAGTATTTATCTAATCCAAAAAAAATAATGGCCTCTCTTGACTCTAAGGGGGAAAAATTACCATTTTCCGTTATGTAAATAACTGGATTATTATATTTTCTCTTCACGTAAAGTAGAAGATTCCAAATCCCTCTCGGATAAACCAACATGGAGCCCAGCTGAAGAAACAAATTTAAGAATCAGTCATTATTTCAGTTACATTATTAATGCTAAACATAAAATGTATCATGGAGGATCAACTTAATTAATTTACAAACTATATATATATATATATATATATATATATATACCTGCTCACCAAGATTAACTCCGTCTCTGGCAGCTAGCATGAAGAAATATCTTGCTTCTTTAGTACAAAGGAAGATACACTATAATTTTGAATCCAACTATATAATAACAAAAGTTTTGAGTTTGAGGAACTTACATGTTAGAGTGGCTCGAGAATCTGTAGTGTAACTTGAGTTTACAGCACTGTAGTTGGTATTATGAGCCGCATAAAGAGCATAGTAGTAGTTTATGCCAATGAAATCATATGACCCCTTTAGCATCTCGGACTCATTTGCAGAGAACTTTGGAAGTCTCTCTCTAACAAGAGCTTGCATGGTGAGAGGATAATCACCATCTACAATTGGGCCCATAAACCTAAAATACATGTGGAAGTTGCAAAGTTAATATATATATATATATATATATATATAATGAAATAAGATTATTTAGAACTCTGCAAAATTGAGAAAGAGAGAAATCTCTCTTACAGGGCTATTGATTTCTAGCAAAAGGAAAATTGCTAACCGTAAAAGATCTGCCAAGATTTTATTTTATTATTATTATTATTATTGACAGGTAAAAAACTCTAACAATTCACTTGAGGAGACTCAAACCCTCTACCGTGGTGATCTGCCTAGAATAAGAGGATGTAATTCAAACAAAAAGGAAAACACGAAAACACTAACAATAGGAGATCTACCAACAAAAAGAGGGTATGATTCAACTTGAAGGTACTAAAAAAATATGAACTTCAGATTAAAGTAGGAAGTTGTAACGATGGAGCTTTTCAATAAAAATTTCAATTTACCCAGGGAAACAAATGACAAAACCCTTGTCTACAAATTAGCAACAAATAAATTCGAATGAGATTTCAATCACATAGATTTGGTAGATCATACATGAATTTATTAAAATCATGCTCATCAAGCATAACTTATATCTGGTTGGTACTCTAGGATCCTTTACACAAATAATCATACATATTATACTATTCCATGTGCGACTCAAATAGTCACTCATTTTTTTAGAGAGGATAGAATATACCACCTACGCTAATTATCCGTTGGCAATCCATTGACATGCTGTGAACTTATGATTAATCAAAAAGTTAACTATTTTTTTTCTTTCTTTCTCATGTTAAAGCAAACACGCACGTCCATAACTTAATCCCTAGCAAGGCTCGAACTAGCGAGCTCTATGTAATACTCACCATCCAAGCATAAAATCTAAAGCTCGAACCGCAGCACGACGATCGAGACTCGAATTTGAATAAGGTACCATCCAGGTTGAAATAAGAGTAATCCCTATCTTTCCCTTTTGTTGTGCCTGCATGGAGATTTCACTTTCAATTAGCTAATTACAAACACTATTTGGTCCAAAAACATTATCTGGTTGCACAGAGTTACAATAAAGCTATAATGAGGATTCTAAAGTTCCACCTGATACTTCTCTTTGTATAATTTTACAGCAGTAGCATGAGCAAGAAGCTGGTTGTGTGACACATTATATGGTTCAGTGCTTGAATCACCCGCTGTGCAATTAATTTGCCGCCAAGAAGAGCATCGACCAGGAGCAAAATAACCGCCATCATACCCAGCACTGCTAAAGCTCAATGGCTCATTCAAGGTGATCCAGTTCTTCACTCGATTGCCAAAAGACTTGAAGCAAAGATCCGCATAGTCACGAAAATCGTCCCTGTCAAATTGATTAATATCATAACTATATGTTTTATTCATAATACCACAAGGATCTCAATATCAACAATTGTGTCCAATTTTTTTTATTTGAGTCAAATATATTTTCAAAATAAATAGAGAAACAAAAGTGTAACCATATATGTTGTGATTAGAAGTCCTAGAATTAATGAGTCGTCATATTGAGGTGTAATTTTTTTTTTGATAAGTCCACGTGTTGACGTATAATCTCATAGCCATGTTATTAATTTCATAATATTAATTAGTTGGTGTAATAGTACAAATGTGAGTTTTGGCTAGTTGGAGAGCTATCACTTCATACAAAATAATCTCAAAATGTTAAGGGTTTGTTAGGTTTAGTTTTATGAGAATGATTTTATGATTTTATATGATAGAATCAAAATAATAATAATAATAATAATACAAAATTTTGTTTGGTTGACAATTTCTAAAATATAACATGTTTTCATATAACAGTATTTTGTAGCTCTTTGGAAACATTTTTCAGTTCCCAAGTTCTTTAGAACTATTTTCAATCAAATGAACCAAACAGATCATATGTTTCTCTAATCTTGCTCTTTACACACCCTTCATACACAAGCACGATTAATAATGTCCGATGACATTTTCATTTCTTAATTTTATTTATTACATTCCAATAGAATTGCAAGAAAAATGAATCCTAAATCTAATTTACAATTTACAATGGTGCCTCTCACTGCTCCCTAGCTAGTTGGTGAACACGTGTCCTAACAACTTATTGCATGCATAGTGTAAAAAGTGTAGTACTAAAAATGGAACTAATTGATTATAATGGAGTATATGAACAATAAGATGAATATCAAGTGACTTACACAATTTTAGGACTCAAGAAACCACCGTACAGCTCGTCTAAACCTTGAGGAACATCCCAATGGAATAGAGTCACGTAAGGCTCAAGACCTATACATATATGAGAGAATAAATAGTTTTGAAAAGTAGAGTTATACAATACACATAAAATTCTAAATAATCAACAATGAAAGAGAGTTATTCGTTAGTACTCTTGTTTTTTAGCTCGTCTATGAGGTTGTTGTAGTACTTTATTCCTTCCCAGTTAACACCTCCACTTAGATTCCCATCTACAAGTTACAAAATTTAGAGAATCAAAACAAATTTTAAAACAAGTCAATAGAAAATCAAATTTCGAAGGGACAAAAGACAAAAATTTCAAACCTGATCGTTGAAGAATCTTAAAGGGACGATCAATTTGATCTATAGTAGATTAATTTTTAGAAAATTTTATCTGTTGTGTCCAGATATATTATGATAAATTGATGTGTTGTTTTAAAATTCTTTATAATTTTTCACGCGTTACAAAATGTCAAATAAATTGTTTCATGGTGGATCCATCTTTCCATATATTACTAGACACAAGGTGATGAAAGTGACCATCTTACGTGGTAGCACTCTGGACCATGAGATTGAGAACCGATAGGCATCAAAACCAATTCTCTTCATGATCCCCACGTCTTCCTGCGAGATTATTGAAAGATTATCAGGACTATAATATGGTTAACAGTTAAGTGGTACCAATAATACCCTAGTTAATTTAAGAATAATGCTATAAAATAATTATCTCATGACAAGAGTCATGAGTAACCTTTATTGATTGTTGGATTCAAAGATTATTAAATGATTCATTTGACTATTAAGAGATGTCAAAAAGCTATCCCATGCTAGTGATTAGATAAGAAGAGCTTATAAAAAAGTTTGAGTATGGTGTGGTAGCATACCTTGTACCGATGATAAGCATCAATGGCAACATCCCCGTTACTACCGTCAGTTATCTTTGCTGCAATCCACAATAAAGTGGTCAAAATTTTGGATATATAAGATTTTTTTTCCCTCGACAAATAACATTCGCTAATTTTACATTAGAATCCTCAATTTTATCACTTCAAAAGTTTGATTAGATATCATTGAATTACAACCTTTGGTTATGGATATACATATATAAAAGATGAAAAATGATATAATTGTTGATGGGGTATTTGTACCGACCGATGTGACAACTATTAAGATAAACACTTAATACGAGAGAGTGTACTTTTGTCCTTTACTCACAAAGAGTCTTGTTGGACTCTATTTATTGGATTCACATAAAAAATAAAAAAATAAAAACTGATCGGTTTGTGTGTCATTACTCATAAGAGAATTAACATAGGTCACTTTTGTAATAATTAATCCAACTATTTATAGTGATGTACGATATATATTTGGGCAAGGTAAGAGAGTATATTAGTAGAGCATAAAAATGTAGAATAAGAAGGGAAAGCCTCAAGAATCTGACAAGGGGCAACCGAGCCAGCAATAGCAGTGACTGCAAACACACACAACCTTCTTAGGAAAAGAACACCAAATTAAGCAAAAGATACAAAGCAAAGCTAACAGACAAGAAGACCAAAAAACAAAGCACCAACACAAAACTAAAAGCAACATAAACTAGTTAACCAACTCTAGATCTCGGTATTACGCAGCAACAAAGAGACCTTGAGGCTGCAATAAGCCCGAAAGCATGACTACCCTTGAACTTCAATGAAATGAGCTTACATCTCACAGTGTCTCTAACAATAGGTACGATAGAACTCTGAGGAGAAAGCTTCCTTCAAATTTTCTAAAATTCTCTCTTCATAGGAAATAAACGCAACAAAGAAGGATTATGTTGTCAACATAAAGTTAGTTAAGCTTGTTAGAACGGTCCCAAACTTCAGCAGCACAAGTAACAGTTAAATACCAATCCGGAGGGGAAACATAGAATCACGAACATTTTGAAAGATGGACTAGATCGGAAAAGAGAATTGTGATGTTATGGCCCGAATTTGGTGCCGGGTTGCAACTTATGACCGATGACCCATTGGATGAGCTTTGTGTGTGCCCAAGCCCCCGAGGAAAATTTTTTACCAGATTTTGCTCATGGGACCCTAATCAGTACTCTCTTGTAACCCAATATATAAGGGCGCTTAGGGTCTGGAGTGTGCTCATCAAGAGACACTAAAAATCGTACAAAGAGAGAGTGAGGGTCTGAAACTTGTAATCTCCGATTTTACACATAGTAAAGACTTTCACCAAATCTCTACCGTGGATGTTGGATTTGCCGAACCACATATAAATCTGTGTTCTTTGTGTGGTATGTTTATTTTTCTGTCGTATTTCGTAATTATTGCTTAATTCATTGCGTTGAATGGACATTGAAAAAAAAATGGAATATAGATTCAACCTAAGATAACAAAAGGTATATTTGTCGTATCCGAAGTGTCTCTAACAATCACAAACATAATACGGAGTATATCAAAATTATCAAGTTCAATCATAATATCATATCAAATGTTATTACCACCAAGGTCTTTAGTCCTCAAATTTCTCATATTATTGGAGATGGCTCCCAGGTGGGCCCTTGTCTTCCTCGTTCAGTGAGGCTGAAATTCAATCTCTGGTTCAGTCAAGAAACACCCTTGTAAGCCTCATTCACCTCCAATAACAAATGGATGGAAACTCCCAATTTCCCTAAAACCAATTCCATTCCATCTCTCGCCCTCATTGCCCCCACCCAATGCCTTTGCCCAAAGGGTCATTTGGAACCCCTTCATTTCACCCTCTACCTCGCCCGGTAGGCAACCCACTTCAGATAGGAGATTAACATCCAATCTTCCCATCCCAAACGCATGCCCTTTCTCCCTCTCTAGTCATGAGAGTGTTTTTTAACAAGCTGTAGAAAATTAAATAAGTGTGCAAGCGTAACGGGGCTTTATTCCATATTAGTAATCCTGGAATACACAAAGTCAAAAGCTTTTTCTTAAATTCCAAAAACGAATTGACAGAGCGCTCTGATTTGGGTCCGAACCCAAAGTCTTAACACTGGCCAATTTGAAAATCCATTAAGGGGGCATGTGTGAATTCCTAATCCAACCTGAAAATTGGAGCTCTCTAGTGCAACGGTGGGACAAGAAAGCTCCCACCAAGGTACCAAAGTTGCAAGTTCTGTTGAAGATTAGTTGCTGTAATGGAACTTCATGTGGAAGAATTGATCAGTGGTGGGATAGATCAAAAGATTCGATGAAATGGCAATACAAATCACCCGATTGATTAGTGGGCCGGGGTTGCCTTCTACGGCTTCCTTCCTTTTGTTTTTTGTGGTTTGGGCTTTAGCTTACAATTAATGGATTGGGCCTAATTCTTTGGGCCTCTTCACTTTTCTTGCTGTACCGGACTTCATGTTCCTAGGACTGTGTATCTAAATTCCAAAGGAGTATAGTTGTAACAGGTAGGCGCTTATCCATTTATCTAAAAGCTTAAGTTGTTGAGTAGTGCCACATACTCACCGATTTATACATACTTCAACTCCCATCCAAATCCAAGTCATTCCACACTAAATTGTGAGAATGCTTGGGAGGAGGTATAGCCCTCCCTTGTAATGTAGAAGAGCAAATCAAAACTCTAGCAATAGTAGAAATGCCATATATTCGGGGAAGCATAATTGGCAAATTAAATTCTCTGAACATCCAAATTGAAATCCGTTTTCACGAAGTATATATCATTCTATCTTGTGACAGACCCCTTCATTACAATATATATAGACCCCACTACAAATGGTATCAGAGCCAGACCAGTCATTAATCTGGTGTCACACCAAACACCCCGCCGAGAGGGCGTCCGAGCCTGGACCCGGAGTAGGCAAGGTGGCCCGACCACAATGAGGGCGTTACGCGGATTCGGGTGGGGGAAGATGTTACAAGTGGGACTTGCTCCACATAGAATTTAGATGGGAGTTGAAGAATGTATAAATAGGTGGGTATGCAGCACTACTCAACAACTTAAATTTTTGGATAAATGGACAAGCCCCCACCCATTACAATAACCTAGAAAGTACGAACACTTCACCTAAGGGTATCACGACGGTTTTGGATCACAATGCTATAAGTGTCCAAAAATTTAATTTTTTTTTTTTGGACACGGCAAGGACAAGCGGGTGGTTTCGTAATTATTATTATTTTATTATTATTAAGAAAAATGGGATTAAAATGTATTATGGGTTAATTAAAAAATAATATAAAATTTAAAAAAAAAAATCAAAAATAACAAACAACTATCTCTAAGCTTCAAATTAGTAATTTCATTAATAATTGATAATTGTATGGATAAAATGAGCAAAATTATTATTTTATATATTTACATATATGTTATATTACTATTCTTCTTCTTCTTTCTTTTTTCTTTTTTTTGATGTATCCATGTTGCGTCCATGTTTTATTATTTTTTTAAAATTTATTATTTTCATATAGTATCGTACCAATGCCCCGTCTTTGTATCCGTATTTCCTAAAGTACAAGGCAACAGTTTGTCAGTTTCTATCTAATTGTTACTTGCACGAGTGTATTTAGGTATATATATATTTGGTCAAATAACGTAATCTTTGAAATTTTATCCATTTGATATTGTTAAGTGTCTTTAAATATATATGTTTGGTCAAATAAAATAATCTTTAAAATTTATTGATGTAACAGATAAATTCAAGAATAAGTCCTATTCTAGGTCACAAAATAGAAATCCTTAGAACAATCGGTTTCCCACTTGCATAGGTGATTTGATTTTCTCTTAAAAAAAAAAAAAAAAATTACTGAAAGTTAATCTGGAACATGGTTATGCCGTTGGTGCACTATACAGCCTCATACTTCAGCCAGTCGAAGTATGTAGAATTGACATAATTTTTTAATCTGATTTATTACTGACTTCTTAGCAATAATTTCTTTGCACGTTAATTAGAATGGCATGCCATAATTAAAATGGCATATCATTAGTAAGACCATCTCAACCAATATCTTACACTTACGGATTATAATGGGTGAGAATAACATCTCTTATATAATCTATGAGGGGATTAGTGCACGAGAATAACATAAATCTTATCTTAAAATTTTTCCATGATTAGAACATCAATAGTATTTTATATTTTTTCAAAAAAATAGTACAATTAATATCACCTCTCATATAATATTTGACGTGACATCAACTTTGTTTATTTTTCACGAAATTTTAAGAGAGAGATAACATGACTCTTATCTTATTCAAAAAATAGTACAATTAATTTCACCTCTCATATAATATTTGACGTGATATCAACTTTGTTTATTTTTCACAAAATTTTAAGAGAGTGATAACATGACTCTTATCTTATTCACGAGTTAGAGCACCAAATACTATTTCACTCTTTTTTTTTTTTTTTTTGGTGATAAAAATAAGATACTTTATTTATTATCAAATGGGGATGTCAATATCACGTACCTCTCATATAATATTTGATTATACACCGACTTTGCTTTCTTTTTCACGAAATTTGGAGAGAGAGAGAGAGAGAGAGAGGAGACCTGGAAATGCATGAGTGTAATGATCCCATATACTTGAGCCTCTACCATCTTCATTTGCAGCACCTTCAATCTGAAAATAAATAAATTAAACAAAGCTAGCTACAAACATTT